TTTCCTTATGTATGTATATAAATATAGAGAGAAATTTGGTCGGGCATGGTGGCTCACACTTATAATCCCAGCACTTTGGGAGGCCAAGGCAGGTGGATCACATGAGGTATGGAGTTCAAGACCAGCCTGGCCAACAGAGTAAAACCCCATCTCTACTAAAAATACAAAAATTAGCCATGTGTTGTGGCATGTGCCTGTAATCCCAGCTACTCAGGAGGCTGAGGCAGGAGAATTGCTGGAACTCGGGAGGTGGAGGTTGCCGTGAGCCAAGATCATGCCACTGAACTCCAGCATGAGCAACAGAGCAAGACTCCAACTCAACTCATAAATAAATAAAGGGAGACATATTTCTCCCTATAGTTATAGTATTTATATATATGTTATATAAAAATATGACATGTTTATATTTATAAAGCAATCTATATATTTAATATATAATACATTAAATATAGATTTCATATACATTATATATATATATATGTAGATACATATATATATATACTCACCCACATATAAAAAGGAATTTATTTATTTGCTGTTCTGACACTTCCCTGCTCTTCTTTTCCTTAATATTTCTGGCCTTTGTCTCTGATTCCTGGAGGCAGCCTCTAAAACCTTAGAAATTATTGGGTGAGAGACCTGTCTGTTACTCATGGTGGGCCCCCCCCAGGGTCACACCTGAGTTCATGCCAACCAGATGACTTGGCCAGGGGACCAACCACACCAGAAAGACCAACCATCTGATTTGAAGGTTGCAACTTTGAGCCACATGGTGTCAGTCTGACCTCCAGAACAGAACTGAGGGGCTAGAGATTGACTCAACTGCCTGGCCAATGGTTGAATCAACCAGGCCAATGTAATAAAACCACTGGACATGGAAGCCCAGGTGAACTTCTCTGGTTGGTGATACACATCAGTGTGCTGAGAGGATGATGCATCCAGAGAACACAGAACACTATGTGTCTCTGCTTTTGGCTGGTCTTAACTTTTGTCAGTGTTTTTCTTATATAAAACAATAATGAAAGTATCATCCTCGGCTAGGAACAGTGACTAATTGCCTGTAATCCCAGCACTTTGGGAGGTCAAGGCAGGCAGATCATCTGAAGTCAGGAGTTTGAGACCAACCTGGCCAACATGGTCAAACCCTGACTGTACTAAAAATACAAAAATTAGCTGGGTGTGATGGCACATGCCTGTTATCCCAGCTACTTGGGAGGCAGAGGTTGCAGTGAGCTGAGATCATGCCACCACACT